GACATTTTATTGTTGGATGTAACTGGGACCCTGTGTACATAATTTCGTTCCACCACATGTACCACATGAGGTGCGAATGACAATAAAGAAACTCTGACTCTGACATGGACAGGTCTCCAGTCCATCACAGGGACACATGGACAGGTCTCCAGTCCATCACAGGGACACATGGACAGGTCTCCAGTCCATCACAGGGACACATGAACAGGTCTCCAGTCCATCACAGAGACACACAGAGACAAACAACCATTCACTCTCTCACTCACACCTAGGGACAATTTAGAGTTACCAATCAGTCTAACATGCATGTTTTTGGTCTGTGGGAGGAAACTGGAGTACCCGGAGAAAACCCACGCATGCACGGAGAGAACATGCAAACTCCACCCAGAAAGGCCCTCGGACAGGGATTTGAACCAGGGACCTGCTTGCAGAGAGGCAGCAGCTCTACCAGTTGTGCCACCGTGCTGCCCATCGTGCAGTTGCCTGTGCTTTTAATAGATTTTTCTCTGAGTCTGTTTATGATCTGGGAAAAGTTTTCTCAACAAGGACACAAAGTATTTTTCCATTAGATACAACAAGCCCAATCTTTGAGCTCAGCTGGAGGAAACAAATGCATTGCAAATAAAAGAAACCATTAGCTCCTTGAAAAATTCTAAATGTAAAGATGCATTTCGTCTTGATACAAAGTTTTTAAAGTCATTTAAAGATATTTTGTCTGAACCTATTGCTCATTTAGTTAATTTGTCTTTTATTAAACTAGGCCACTTTCCAGAGGATTGGAAATGTGCCATTGTTACACCTGTTCTTAACTTTGGAGATCGTAGTGAAGCTGGCAATTACAGGCCTGTTAGCATCCTGCCAGTGTTCTCCAAGGCTGCAGAGAAGGTTGTTGTTGAACAAATCACTGCATTCCTTCATAGCAATTTTGGTTTACATGGGATGCAGTTTGGTTTTGGAGCCAACCACTCGACTGAGACTGCTACTCTGTACCTAAAAGAGCAAATTAAATCTTGGCTCGTTAAAGGGGGTGTAGTCGGTGCTGTATTTTTAGATTTGCGTAAAGCTTTTGATACGGTTAATCACCATGTTTTATTATCAAAAGTTTCCCATTTAATTTTTTTTCCTGGAGCCTTGGTCTGGCTATCTTCCTATTTATTAAATAGGAGACAATGTGTGAAGGTTGGTGATGTATGGTCAAGTAATTTGTGTGTAATATGGGTGTCCCACAAGGATCAGTGTTGGGTCCCTTACTGTTTAGCTTGAATATTAATGATCTTTCTGAACCGTGGGCTGATGTGAATTTTCAGATGTATGCTGATGAGACTATGATCTATGTACATGCAAAAACAACTGACTTAGTATCTGCTAAACTGGAATATCTTACAAAAAGATTTTGAAGCTCTCGACCTTTAACCTCTCTAAGTGGCTTTAAGAATCTGTTGGACTCCTGGCAGGGACCAATGCTGACATGTTCCTGTTTTTAGTTTTCTACATTCACCTTAGAATCTAGCTGTTTTTTTGTTACCTTTTCCTTTTAGCCATCCTATTTGTAAAAAAACAAAACAAACAAAAAAAAAACCCTGCAGTATGACTTTTTATAACTGTTTATTGTTGTTGCTGTTGTCCATTGTTGTCATCTTTCTTTGTTAAATCAGGTCTCTCTTGTAAATGAGTCCTCGAGGCTCAATGGGATTTACCTGTAGAAATAAAGGTTGAATGATAACTGCTCTGCAAAGGATCACCTGTTGTCTAGATCAGTCAAGTATGATTCTAAATGTAAAGAAAACCAAATGTATGTTTTTTTTCTAAAACCATGGTACAATCTCATAGTACTGATATTTACATTAAAGAGGAAAAAACTGACATAGTCACTGAATTTAAATATCTTGGGGTGACCCTTGATCCAAATCTGAATTTTAAGAAGCATGTTAAGAATATGACTAAAGTCATTAAACTAAATCTTAAAAATTTTAAATATATCAGACATTGTCTTTCACTTGATGCAGGTAAGACATTCATGCCATGATTTGATCCCGTATGTCATACTGGATCACCTGCTGGGGTCAGGCTGGTGATGGTGTTTGAAGACCTCTTCAACAGACTCTAAAAGTTTTGGATAAAAAGCCAGTGCACCATCACCACTGTAGGATTTTAGAGAAATACAAGCTTTTGAGCTTTGAAAATGTTAGATTTTGTAAATTTTGTCTTGTTTATGGCAGCACGGTGGCACAGCTGGTAGAGCTGCTGCCTCTCAGCGAGCAGGTCCCTGGTTCAAACCCCGGTCCAGGGGCCTTTCTGGGTGGAGTTTGCATGTTCTCTCCGTGCATGCGTGGGTTTTCTCCGGGTGCTCCGGTTTCCTCCCACAGACCAAAAACATGCATGTTAGACTGATTGGTAACTCTAAATTGTCCCTAGGTGTGAGTGAGAGAGTGAATGGTTGTTTGTCTCGTTTGTCCCTCTGTGTCCCTGTGATGGACTGGAGACCTGTCCAGGGTGTCCCCCGCCCCTCGCACAGTGATTGCTGGACATGGGCACCAGCGACCCCCGTGACCCAAAATGGAAGAAGCGGGTAAAGAAAATGGATGGATGGATGGATGGTTTGGCCCCCCCTCTGCTGTCTGATTTTGTGTATACTCACCACTTGGAGACAATCCGATCCATGAGGATCTCATCTGGGAGAAATGTGTCATCCCATTTTGCCGTACTGTTAACGGGCAATCAGCTCTTTCTGTAAAGCTACTAATCAGTGGAACGCAGTGATGATGGTGTGAGGAGCTGCAGCTCTTTGAGTTTTCAAATTTAATTTGAAAAAACAACTGCTCAGGTGTGCAAACATTAACTGTAAGACTGTGTGCCAGTCATTGAGTCTGCACGTGTGTTTTTGTGTATCGTGATTTGAAAGCATTTTATAGCGTTATACTTTCTGTTTAATTTTATTATTCATTGTAGATCCATTGCTTTTCTTTTCTTTTTTTTTACTTGTCAAGGGACTGCAGATGCAAATTAGCTTTTGCTATAATCTGGTACAGCGCATCAAATGGTGACATTTATGTTGGAGTTGTGCATTGTCCCTTTTTAAATAAAGTTCATTCATTCAATGACATACCTGAGGGTGAGAAAATGCCTCAGGAATGGAGAAGAAGTGCTGGTGGCCATTTTTAAGAACAATGATGTACAGAGTTGTAGCAACTACAGGGGAATTAACTTGATGAGGCACACAATGAAGATCTGGGAGAGAGCTGTGGAAACTAGACTTAGACGAGAGGTGACTCTCTGTGAGCAGCAGGATGGTTTCATGAAGAGAAAGAGCTCCACAGATCCATCTTTGCTTTGAGGATGATGATGGAGAACAACAGAGAGGGTCAGAAAGAACTCCTTTGTGTCTTTGTGGATTTAGAAAAAACATCTGACAGGGTGCTGAGGGAGGAGGTGGAACAGTGAGGCTACAAGGAGCAGAGGTCACAAAGGTGCAGGACTTCAAGGACTTGGGGTCCACTGTCCAGGAACATGGGGAGTGTGGTGAAGAGGTGAAGAAGAGAGTCCAGGCAGGATGGAGTGATGGAGAAAAGTTTCAGGAGTGATTTGAGACAAAAGGGTGTCAGCAAAGGTCAAAGGAAAAGTTTACAAGACAGTGGTGAGACCAGCTATGTTGTCTGGTCTGGAGACAGAGACATGGACAAAAAGACAGGAGACAGAACTGGACGTGTCAGAAATGAAGATGTTGAGGTTCTTCTTAGGAGAGACAAGGATGGAGAAGATCAGGAATGAGATCATCAGAGGTACAGCACAGGTTGAACACCTGGGATATAAAGTTAGAGAGGACACACTGAGATGGTTTGGACATGTCCAGAGGAGGGACAGTGGTTTGGACATGTCCAGAGGAGGGACAGTGATTTGGACATGTCCAGAGGAGGGACAGTGGTTTGGACATGTCCAGAGG